CCGAAGGACAACATTAATAACGTCCACAGACATTGCTCAATTCTTGGAAAAATGGCTTGCACATGCCATTCAAGGCATGTAAAATCAGTTTGAAAGGATTTGATTTTTACTTCACACTTTAGTAGCTTTTAAAAAAAGCGTATGTTTCATCATATTTAATGCTGTTAAAAGTATGGGCTTTCTGTTCTTTAAGCGTGGCAAGGAGACCTGTATTTGCCAAAAAACTGTCTCCTGTATTCTGAACTTTGATTGGAAGAAACGGAATCAATATCTGACTAAGATGAAACCTAAGTTTTCAGAAGTGCCACCCAACTGCTGACATTCAGTATGTGCTATGAAGCACGATTCATGAGATAGCCCTCTGAATCTGAAATGCGCGTTGAATGAATGCTAAAACCTTCATGCAAATTGCGGAGTTCAAGACTTGCCAGTTTTCTGAAAATTTAAATTTCTGAATCTGGTAGCGCTAAACTTTTGGTGGGGTGTGTATGTTTCTTCCTTTGCTGCATAAATTTGCAACCAGTGATCAGTTTACTCTCTAGTTATAAAATTCACGCATAAACAGTGACACCCAGAGGTGAAAGTGAAGTCCAAGTCTTCTGAGCCACAAGTTTTCAGTGGGTATTGTTTGTGTCCCTGAGTTTTCATTGCTGTTGAATTTGTAGGGCTTCTTTGACATCCCCGTAGACAATTTGTATGCTGAACCGGCTGTGCTAAAGTGGATCAAGGAGAACATCAGTGAGTGGAAGGAGTGCACCATCGTATCACCTGATGCTGGTGGTGCCAAGAGGTGAGGGTGAGAGCCGCTGTACTGCAGAGTCTTCAGGTAACCTGACGTGCATGTCTGTAGATGATGGGAGGAAACCGGAGTACCCAGAGTGAACACTTCGTCACGGGAGAACTTGTGATCTCCTCACAGAATGGCCCGAGGCTGGATTCTAACCCATCGCCTCCTTTCTGCAGGGCCCCTGTGCAGCGCTTAAAGGGCTGTTTAAAGGAATAATCAATAGGAAGGTGTTGCAGGCGTAAAATTCGGTATGAGTATTTATTTCCAAAAAAAAAAAAAAAAAAAAAAAGATAAGGTGAAGGCAAGATACTTCAATATTAGAGCTGCAAGCAGCATCTGAGGGGCAAAGGAAGGGTTTCTCTCTGTAATATACTGGGCTTTAGGAATAGGGGCTCCCTGGCAGAAAATGCTCTAAAATACTATAGATGGAAAAAATGATAGAAACTGAAAATGTCAACATGTGAGAAATACTGTTCTATAATAATATTTTAATGGAACGAATCATAGCATTTATTAATTTACAAACTCCAATTCCAATGAAGTTGGGACGTTGCGTAAAACGTAAATATAAACAGAATACAATGATTCTTTTCGACTTATATTCAATTGAGTACACTACAAAGACAAGATATTTAATGTTCAAACTGATAAATTTTATGTTTTTTGGTAATATTCACTCATTTTGAATTTGATGCCTGCAACATGTTCCAAGAAACCTGGGACAGGGGCATCAAAAGACTGAGAAAGCTCAAAAAATACGTGTTTGGAACATTAGACAGGTGAACAGGTTAATTGGAAACAGGTGAGTGTCATGATTAGCTATAAAAGGAGCATCCCCGAAAGGCTGTCGTTTACAAACAAGGATGGAGCGAGGTTCACCACTTTGTGAACAACTGCGAGAGCAAATAGTCCAACAGTTAAAGAACAACGTTTCTCAATGTGCAATTGCAAGGAATTTAGGGATTTCATCATGTACTATCCAGAATATCATCAAAAGATTCAGAGAATCCGGATTCAGAGAATCTCTACACGAAAGCAACAAGGCCGAAAACTAACATTGAATGCCCGTGATCTTCGGTCCCTCAGGCGGCACTGCATTAAAAACCGACATCATTCTGCAAAGAATATTACCATGTGGGCTCAGGAACGCTTCGGAAAACCATTGTCAATTAACAAAGTTTGTCGTTATATCTGCAAGTGCAAGTTAAATCTCTGCCATGCAAAGCGAAAGCCATATATCAACAACACCCAAAAACGCCACAGGCTTCTCTGGGCCCGAGCTCATCTGAGATTGACTGATGCAAAGTGAAAAAGTGTGCTGTGCTCTGGCGAGTCCACATTTCAAATTGTTTTTGGAAATCATGGACAGTGTGTCCTCCGGGCTAAATAAGAAACGGACCATCCAGATTGTTATCAGCGCGAAGTTCAAAAGCCAGCATCTTTGATGGTATGGGGATGTGTTAATGCCCATGGCATGGGTAGCTTGCACATCTGTGAAGGCACCATTAATGCTGAAAGGTACATACAGGTTTTGGAGCAACAAATGCTGCCATCCAAGCAGCGTCTTTTTCAGGGACGTCCCTGCTTATTTCAGCAAGACAATGCCAAGACACATTCTTCACGTACTACCACAGCGTGGCTTCGTAGTAAAAGAGTGCGGGTAATAGACTGGCCTGCCTGCAGTCCAGACCGGTCTGTCATTGAAAATGTGTGGCGAATTATGAAGCAAAATACGACAATGGAGACCCCGGACTGTTGAGCAACTGAAGTCATACATCAAGCAAGAATGGGAAAGAATTCCACCTACAAAGCTTTTATAATTAGTGTCCTCAGTTCCCAAACGCTTATTTAGTGTTGTTAAAAGGAAAGATGATGGAACACAGTGGTAAACATGCTCCTGTCCCAGCTTTTTTGGAATGCGTTGCAGGCATCAAATTCAAAATGAGTGAATATTTCCAAAAAAAAAAAAAAAAAACAATGAAGTTTATCAGTTTTAACGTTAAATATCTTGTCTTTTTAGTGTACTCAATTGAATATAGGTCGAAAAGGATTTTTAAATCATTGTATTCTGTTTTTATTCACGTTTTACACAACATCCCAACTTCGTTGGAATTGGGGTTTGTAATTAAACATCTGATTCCTCCAGCTCAGGGTTTCAAAATTAATGGCACCTGGACGGATTATTATCCCTCACCATGACTTGAAGTGGAGTGGGGGATATTGCGATGTAGCTTGTCCGGGTTAGTGGGGACAAGTTTTCTCAGAAGCTGCTTCACGTAGATGAATGACATTTTATGCATGTATCGTACTAGTCATGACCTTGACTGGGTGCAAAAATTGGACTGTATGGTGGCGGGGGATATTGATGACTTAGTCTTCTTGTAATTGAAATCAACCGACTTTAAACCAGGAATGGAATTCAGCATCTTTAAATTTATTTCAGGAACTTCATCATGTCATTACATCAATTCCTGTTTCGCAAGGGTATAAAAATGTGGCTGCACACGGGCAAGATTCCTTAGTCATCCAGCAACATGAAGAAAACGAGACAGATGGCCATAGTCCTTAAGAAATCTAGTAATTATCTATGAAAGTTAAAAATACCACTGAGCACCCTCGGGGCAAGTATTCAACAATGTTTGAAAACTTAACAGTGGAGGAAAAATGCATTTACCCCTCAGGATAGGTAGGAGGAAGGTGAGGGAAGCTAAGAATCCCCAATAATAATCCTGAAAGCATGCAGACATCTTGGGATCCCCATCAGACACCCCCTCCCTAACCACAGGCTTTGTGGTTGGTTTGCAAGAAGTATACATTTTCTGACCCACAACACCTATTAGCAAGTGCTTGCATATTGCAAAAGGTCATTTAAGGTATGATTGGATAGAGGAGGTCATTCATATTATGACTGGATGAAGGCGCTGTAGTCAGATGAGACCATAGTTGAATAGCTTTGTTTAATACATCATGTGCATATTTGCTTTCAAAACAAAAATGCAGACGGGGAAAGACTCCTCACGCTCCGTGATCCACGTTAAAGTTTGGTGGTGAATGAGTGATGTTTTCGAGTTGTTTTAATTCCAGAGGTCTAGTGACACTATTAACATCAGTCATAGATTCGGCCAAATATTAGGGAATTGTGGCAGATCATCTGGTTTCCTCAGTCTGTAGGCTGCAACTGGACCATTGGCGGACTTTCCAGCAAGGCAGTGAGCCGAAGTACTCCTCAAAATCTTGGGCAGAAATGTTTCTGGAACAGAAGAATCAAGGTCCTGAAGTGGCCATTTCTGTCACCCGGCCTCAACCTGATCGGAAGCCTGTGGGCTGAACTAAAGAGGGCTGTTGATAACCAAGAATGACTATCCTTCAAAGTATTTGCCTTGAGGAATGTTTCATCATCTCCCCAAATGTGCGCCTCGTCAAACAGGACATGAAAATACTGTACTGTTACCTTAGCCAGAGGAGGTTGCACCAAGTAATTAATCAGGGGTACAAATGGTTTTGAAACCTTAAGGCAAATTGGTTGTATATTGAAGAAATTTATGATTTAGGTTTGTTCCATTAGAACATTATAATCTATAATGTTTATTGCATCTTGGCTTTTTGAGTTTAACCAAAACACAATTTATTTTTTATTGTATTTGTAGTGCCTTTCCAGTCAGTCGTGTAGATGGCTCTATAGGCCACTGTATACAGTTGCACTTTATTTTAAGACAGCAGCAGTTGCACAATTACTCCATAGCACTCTGAATGTATTAACCATGATTAAAATTGTCCAAACAGAATATTGTCTTTACTTAAGGGTTATAAAGAGGCCAAGATGTAACTGCTCGTTTGCCCCACCTGCCCTGTGCTGTAATTTATAGTTTCTGTAATGTGTCTAACCGCAGCTTTGTCCTTTGGCAGAGTCACATCGATTGCTGACAGACTGAATGTCGATTTTGCCCTGATCCACAAGGAAAGGAAGAAGGCTAGCGAGGTAGATCGCATGGTGCTGGTGGGTGATGTGAAGGACCGGGTGGCCATCTTGGTTGATGACATGGCTGATACCTGTGGCACCATCTGCCATGCAGCTGACAAGTAAGCCCCTTCTACTGAGTAGTCCTTAGCGATCATATTCCTGTACATATGGTCCTTCTTAATTGGGCTATGGGAGGAAACCGGAGTATCCGGAGGAAACCCACGTGCACGGGGAGGATATGCTACGTCATGCGAATCCAGGCCGGATTCCAACCCACAATTTCTATGGCATGAGACAACCGCACTACCCACTGTGCCACTGGGCCACCTTACCATCATAAGTAGTCGTTAACTAAATGGTCAATCCACAACATTGGTAACATGTAGATGGAGTGGTGGGAGCAGGGCTTCTTTGGGTGGTTGGGAGGGGCATGGGAGAATATGGGGTGATGGTTAGTCAAAAATTCTGCTTGGTTCAAACTCCAGTATCCACTGTTTTATGGTGATACCTGAATGATTTGGTGTTTTTGATGGATGTACTGAGGAAAGATTTGCTGTGTGACGTCGGGCAATTTTTCAACAGCATGATCAATCGATTTTTGTTGAAACAGTTCCATGAGTTTGAGTCCTACACCTTGAAATGTACTGACTTCTGACCTGTAGCTGTTAAACCTGTTCGATGTTCATTTTAAGATTGGTGTCGGCTGGTGCTACTAAAGTGTATGCCATCCTGACGCATGGAATCTTCTCTGGCCCAGCCATCTCTCGCATCAACAATGCCTGCTTTGAAGCCATAGTGGTGACCAACACCATCCCACAGGAGGAGAAAATGAAGCTCTGTTCAAAGATACAGGTGAGAATATACCACAGGCTCAGAGATGCTCTGTGCAGGATGCGTCACATGACATACAGTCAGGTTCAGAGGTATCTGGACAGTGACGCAAATTATATTATTTTGCCTCTGAACACCACCACAATAAATGTGGAACAAATCAATCAAAAAGTGATTGAAGTGTGGACTTTTAGCTTTAATTCAAGGGGTTTCTCAACAATTTTGCTTTCATTGTTAAGAATTGCAGCCATTTTTACTTGTAGTTCTCCATTTTCAATAGCTTAGAAGTAAGTGGACAATTAACTGACGATCAGTTCCTCTGCCAGATGTGGTCCGTTCCCTCATTATCTCATGACAAATTTAGCAGATAAGAGGTGCGTCTGGCTCTCTAGCATTTGGTGCAGACGTAACACTGTGCTTACTCGCGGTTGATAAAAAGGCCGAAAATTTCACCCCTGCTCTTTTTGCTTGTCCCTGTAGGTTATTGACATATCCATGATCCTCGCCGAGGCTATCCGTCGGACACACAACGGCGAGTCAGTCTCTTATCTCTTCAGCCATGTGCCCTTATAAACCGACTCACTCACTCCTGGAGTCGGTTACAATTTTGTCAAGGGGGAGGGGGGCGCACTACTGCCTACACCATTCCAACTTCATCCCCTCCCCCCCACCTGCCCTCGAGAACCAGAAATTTCCCCGTTTTCCTTCTGTTTTCTGTTACATGGATTCTCGGCCACTGTGTATGTTGGTCGTTAAGTTGCTTAGTACAGTTTGATTGTTTATAAGATTTAGCGGCTAATGTTATTTATTGAGCTATTCAGTTTGCTGCTGCTCAGACTGTGTGAGAATTTTGTGTTCCTTGTGTCTCTGTGAACTTTGGGGAGTTATAACCTTTTCCCATTCGATTTGATTGTTTTTGTTTGTGTGCGCGCGTGTGTCTGTTGCATTTTATAAGGTGTTTAGAATGCTTTACAGCAAGTGTGTTGGCATAAAGCCATGTATACGGGCCTTGAGGTACGGGCTCTGTTGGTTTGGGATTGGGAAGATTGTTTTCCAGATCGCTGCCACACTTCAAGATGGAGTTAGTAGTAGAGTCACTATCACAAGTGCCCTTAATCCCATTTAGCGAATTAAGATGCATGATACATTTAACCAGGTATCCACAACTCTACGTAAGTAGCTGTTACATTTTATGATTGTTCTGGAGATTTTATTTAGTTAATTTTATGTGAAGCATGCCATATGTAAAGACAAAAGCTAGGGGCCTCCCTCTTCATGGTCTTTTTTTTAAGTTCTGCAAAGTAGCTGTGTGCTCACCCAACCTGTTTTTAAGGCCAGGTGCGGGACAATAATACATACATTGAAGGCTATGAATATCTACACATTGAATTTTGCTCTCCCAATACTTCTATTGACTAAAAAAAAAGTAAAAAGTTTCAATCCAACGTTTCAGCCTGATGAAGATCCTGTGAGGTCGAAATTTTTGGTCAATAAAATGTTGGAAGCTGTAATTGGGTGTGCGGATATTTATTGCCATCATTTTTTGATGATCTTTGTGGCTTTTCGCAGTGCCCACATGGCTGCCAAATGTCTTCAGTTGTATTTTTTTTAGATTTATTATTTTTATAGTCTGTGTGTTAGAGAGGGTGGTTTTTCACAAGGTTGCTGAAATTGCAGTCCCTTTAAAGCAAAGCTGCTTTGAAGCGGCTCTCTGCTAACTTAGGGCACCTGTGGCCTTAAAGAGTGGTATTTGTACAGGACCATAATCTTCTTTTGATTTTCCTGTGTATTGCCCTCCTTGACATGAAGGACTGATGGAATGTGCTAGGTATCCAAGTTGAACATTAAAAATCAGTTTCCAGATTGATGGTATTTCTTTGTTGTGGCTTTTCTGTATGCAATGTTCATAATTTTTAGCAGAAAAGGTAGATGTGGAAGTACGGGGCTTGGTGTTGATAGGGACTGTCAAAGCACAATGTTTATCGATCTGTTGAATACAAGATTGATATCTATAACTTTAAATACAGTAACAGTGTGAATAGCTGAGTATTTAGACGGTGTCAAAATTTTAGGTTTCTGGATTTGTACTTGAATTCATTCATTTGATTTTTGAGACACTGTTTTAATTTTGGGGTATTTTTATCCATATTCTGTTAACTACATCTTGGTGCATAGAAGAGCAATCCTATTCTAGTGATACTATGACTGTTCTTATAGCAACACCAAACTGAATTTCTAGGCCAAACAACTTTTTTCAAAAATGCAATAATTTAGGATTTGAGTGTCTCAGAGACTGGGAAATTGCTAAAATGAAGCAAGAGACTTGTACCATTTAGAATTATGAAATATTTTGTTGACTTCCATCATTTTGGGGCAGAAAAGTGCCACAGATGCTAAGAAACTTCATGAAAATTCAACATCAAATTTTTCAGTATACAATGAAATGATGAGAATAAAAAATGCTCGGAAGTGAAACGATACATTTCCTGAATCATAAACTCCTTGACCACAAATGTGCTACATCTGGTGATGATGCTCAGAACCACTGATCATGTGTGAAGCCACGTACAAACCCCATTCCAATGAAGTTGGGATGTTGTGTAAAACGTGATTAAAAAGAGAATAAAATGATTTGTAAATCCTTTTTGACCTATATTCAATTGAGTACTCTACGAAGACAAGATATTAATGTTCAAACTGATACATTTTATTTGTTTTTTGGAAATATTCACTCATTTTGAATTTGATGCCTACAGCACGTTCCAAAAAAGCTGGGACAGGGGCATCAAAAGACTGAGAAAGTTGAGGAATGCTCAAAAAACACCTGTTTGGAACATTCCACAGGTGAACAGGTTAATTGGAAACAGGTGAGTCATGTTTAGGTATAAAAGGAGCATCCCTGAAAGGCTCAGTCATTCACAAGCAAGGATAGGGCGAGGTTCACCACTTTGTGAACAACTGCGGGAGCAAATAGTCCAACAGTTTAAGAATAATGTTTCTCAACATGCAATTGCAAGAATTTAGAGATTTCATCATGCACAGTCAAAAATATCATCAAAAGATTCAGTGAATCCGGAGAAATCTCTACATGTCAGCGGCAAGGCCGAAAACCAACATTGAATGCTCATGACCGTCGGTCCCTCGGGCGGCACTGCATTAAAAACTGACATCATTCTGTGAAGGATATTACCATGTGGGCTCAGGAACACTTCGGAAAACCATTGTCAGTCAACACAGTTCATCACTACACCTGCAAGTTTAAGTTAGAACTCCACCATGCAAAGCAAAAGCCATATATCAACAACACCCAGAAACTCCGCCGGCTTCTCTGGGCCTGAGCTCATCTGAGATGGACTGATGCATAGTGGAAAAGTGTGGTGTGGTCTGAGGAGTCCTCATTTCAAATTGTTTTTGGAAGTCATGGACATCGTGTCCTCTGGGCTAAAGAGGAAAAAGACCATCCAGATTGTTATCAGCGCAAAGTTCAAAATCCAGCATCTGTGATGGTATGGGGATGTGTTAGCGCCCATGGCATGGGTAACTTGCACATCTGTGTGAATGCACCATTAATGCTGAAAGGCAAATACAGATTTTGGAGCAATATATGCTGCCATCCAAGCGACGTCTTTTTCAGGGACGTCCCTGCTTATTTCAGTAAGACAACGCCAAGCCACAGTCCGCATGTGTTACAACAGCGTGGCTACGTGGTAAAAGAGTGCGGGTAATAGACAGCCCTGCCTGCAGTCCAGACCTGTCTCCCATTGAAAATGAGTGGCGCATTATGAAGCACAAAATATGACAATGGAGATCTCGGACTGTTGAGCAACTGAAGTCATACATCAAGCAAGACTGGCAAAGAATTCTTCCTACAAAGCTTTTACAATTAGTGTCCTCCATACCCAAATGCTTTTTGAGTGTTGTCAAAAGTAAAGGTCATGTAACACAGTGGTAAACATGCCCCTGTCCCAGCATTTTTGGAATGTGTTGCAGGTATCAAATTCAAAATGAGTGAATATTTAAAAAAAAAAAAAAAAAAGTTTATCAGTTTGAACATTAAATATCTTTTCTTCGTAGTGTACTCAATTGAATATAGGTCGAAAAGGATTTTCAAATCGTCGTTGTATTCAGTTTTTATTCACGTTTTACACAACGTCCCAACTTCATTGGAATTGGGGTTTGTATAAGCTGCCCTCCAGTAGTTTGATGTGGATGCTAAAATAGTTCAGTGTTGCTATCAGGCTACTGTTTTGATTCATGGCACAAACTCATCTGCAAGTGGATATTCTTATGTTTTAACTTTTTTGACCGTTGAAATGAGGGGGCTTATTAAGAACCAATCCAACGGTCAAACAATTTTCAAAAACTAACAGAAAACCTTTTATCCTCTGAAACCATATAAAATTATACTTTACGATGAAATATTGATTCCAAAGTGAAAAATAATAACTCATCCTCACTGCCTCCCTGTAACGAATACCTGCCAACAAAATCATT